ATACCCAACGCACACGAACAACTTCTATGTAGCCTGTACTTGTTTGGACTGCTCAATCCAAATTCAGATGGATACTGAATTTCACTGCTTTGATGCAGAACACACTGTAGTGATTTATGGGTCTGTGTGTGTGTGGGGGGGGTGTGGACGTCTGCATGCCACAGTTTGCATGTGGTGATCAGAGGACAATTCTCTCCTTCCACCATGCCAGTCCCAGGGATTGAACTCTGGTTGCTTAGTGGCACCTCCCGTCTCAGCAATCTTGGTCTTCAATTGGAGATTTACTATGGAGAATGATCACTATGTGGACCAGTTGGGACGCTTTTCTGAAAGAAGATAGCTAATGAGTCCTTCCCACGGCAGAAGCGTCAACATGGTGAAGAGGACAGTTAATTAACTTCTGGCTTTCCTTTAGTTTTGCAAACCGGGTCTTAGTAACATGGTAACAAACATTTTCAGTGACGTTATCGACAAGTCACTTCCTCAAAGAGCAAACGATTCCAAAATAATGACACAAACTATGACACCAGGGAGTCAGCAGGATTTTATTGAAATGTCTTAGTAAACGTCACAGGATCTCAAAAATCTCTAGTCTCTAAAACCAGGGCAAGCACTGCAAAGAATATGTTCCTGAACTTAGTCGTCGACATTGTAGCTCACGAAGGAAAGTTAGCCTGTGAACATCTACCAGGTGAGTAGGAAAACTTTTAGCGGGAGGCTAAACAACTTTGGTATATTCCTGTTTTTCTGGCTCCCCCTTTTGGCCCTTTTCATAGAGCCAGACAAAGCTGATCTGTTGGTGATATTCCCCTTATCACAAACAGCAAGAATCAGGAAAGTCGTGGGTTTAGACTGCTTGGGAAACAGCCTTCGTCATTTTGGCCCAACTGAAACTGTCAAATATTTAAAGTCTCTAGGTCCATTGTATAACGCTCAGTCCAGTCTAATTAGTTCATCAGTGTATTCAGTGGTTCTTTGGAACACTAATTCGGGCCAAGTAAAGCCAGAAAACATCAGTTCTCATTTCAGAGGTCAGCCACGCAGGTTTGGACATAGGGGATTTAAGTCTGACAATCATTATTGTAAGATCTTCTGTACACATCCGTAAGCTTTAAATATCTTAGATAAAACGATGACCAACGGGCTTTCGTCATGCCAACGCTTTGAGACATGTGCACACATACATCAAGCTATCTCCATGTGGATGTGCACAGGAATGCCTTCATTCAGCACAGGCGTAAACCCCCAAGACACACAGACATCACTTACTTATCAAAACTAACAATTGCATAGTGTCAAACAGGATTTTAACACATGTCTAGCCAAGACTTTATAGACAGTATGTACCACAGAGCTGCGTGTCCCAGGTGATGGGACCACTTTCTTCTAAACAGTTATAAATAAGGTATTGTCAAAATGTCCGTCCCTGTATTAGCATAAACGACACTTTTAACATTGATTTGACTTCTGCTGCCCTGGAGTTTGATATTCTATAGAGTGCTGGCCAAGTGTGTTACTCAGATAGGTAGGATTTTTCTACCCCGAAAATTTAGGGCTAGAAATGTATCTACCAGTTTTAAGATTTACCAAGGGGAGAGATTGTTTAGCATTCTGAATCTTTAGGTACTCGAGCTAATTATCTTCTGTGGGGGCAGGGAAATCTGGTAGGTTGTCCACCAATATGCACATTGTCAGTCAAGGGGTGGCCTTCGCCACTTTAAATGATGCTATACAGAACTGCCTTTTTGTTTGTTTTTATTTCATAACACACGGGCTCAAGTCTAGCCCAGGTTGAGCTGGAACTCACTATGTAGCCTAGGCTGGTCTCAACACTCGTGCTAATCTTCCTGCTTCAGCTTTCTGAGTGCTGCAATTAGAGGCATTAGCCTCCACACCTCTCTAAATGAGAATTTTGTCAAGAACGCCACCCTCAATGAAATTCTCCTTCACAATGCTCTTTGGACCAGTTTTTGAAGATGCTCCTAATGGAACAACTATTTACTCTTCTATCCATTGTTTTGCAGGCGTCTCCTATCTCTACATTTTGACAGCTTTAGAGATGATAATCAGTCGTTACAGATTAGGACTTCTGCTTATGAAGGCCAAAGAACATTTAATCCAAGCTCATTAAACAGTGCTTGAATAAATACATTTGGTGGCACTCTTAAAACTTCCCTGTTTTATTCATGTGAAAAACAAAAATAATGATCAGTCTAAAAAATGTGAGGGGATTTCAAGAAGTTCTTCTTTTCGTGGATATCTATGCCAAGAAATTATTGGGAAAAAAATGCAAAGTATAGGCTAGTGCTAAAATGATGAAGACTGGGAATAAAATGATAGGACATGAGGTGCATCCTAAAAAATAATTCCTCTGGGATAAACAAAGATGCACATCGGTGTGACTATGAACTCACTGACTACAACCTCATCATAATTTTGGGAGTTTCAGGTAAGTTGACAGTTGTGACATATGCTCAAAGTGGAAATTAAAGGTGATAGAGAGCCTTATATTGTCTTCAATACGTCTAATGTCTACTAAGAAAAGTCAATATGTCAGTGACCATCTTAGGCTCAATAAAAATCAATCCCAATTTAGGGCAATAATAAAATAAACCCAGCTATCAGTTTTTCCTAAAAAGCAAAAAAGTATTCAAAATGCATGACAGTATAAATTTTCTGAGGTTCACTCCAAAGGAAATGGTATTTAGGATTTTACCCTAATGTCCACAGGCATTATCAGGATCTATTTACACAGAAGGCTTTCATTTGAAGTCACCTTTGGCAACCTGAAAATATATATACGACAAATTTCCACAATAGGATTTTAGGCTTAAAATTCGCTGCCTCAAAGTACTAAAAAGGAATGAGGGAAAAGGCTAGTTCTCATCGACAACAGTTCACTTAAGGACCAAATAACCACCACCTTCCCCTGCCCCCACACACAGAAAAGCAGTAGTCTTGAACATTAGAAGGGGAGACAAGGAGTCTTAGAGTGTACATAGATCGGATGCTTTTGCCAGTGATCATTCTAGAATTGCTGAGTCCTAACACTAAAACAGCAGGCAGACAAAGACAGTGAGAAGTCGGAGGAGGCTTGCTCCACCTTCCGTATCCCATGGGACTACAGTGGTACATGGCTGAACAAGTAGGACACAGATTCCCCATTGTGGGTTCTTCGAATGGCCTCAGCCAGGATCATTGAAATATCAATCACCTGAATAGCAAGGAGAAAACACAAAACACAAAAGGCAGGAGTGAGTTCGATTTTTTTAAAAGCTGAAAAGGCAGAAAGCCTAAGAATGTTTTCTCTAGCATACGTGTTGGTTATGTTCTGTTTTGGTGTATGTTTTGATTAACCCTCCTCTGGCCATTTCTTGGGGAGTGTCCACACTGAAAATCTTCAGTTGTTTGTAGAGTTTAGCTTTAAAGACATCACAGCCAGTGGAGGTGACGGCTATCAGTTCCTGGGAAGATTTTCAGTATTGCTACTCAGGGCTGCTGTTACCCACAGATGGTCCCTTCTTGGGACACTGGTTATTTAAAAACTAGTTTTCTTTATTCATTGGCAGAGGTTTTTCCTTAGTTGGAAAAGATCGTGGCTAAAATTTTTTAAAGTTACAACTTTCATTTTATTTCTTAAGTTTTTACTATAATCCAAGTACCAATTTATAAAACATGGCAATGGTCTTCATAAAATATTATAAAGCAAATCTTACACAACCTAACTTTCTACTTGACTACACTTCAATTTGGAATGCCAGCCTAATACGATTTTTACAACTCTTTCATCGGTTGCTGCTGTTATTATTATTGTCAGTGTGTGAGTGTGTGTGTGTGAGTGAGAAAATGTGTGAGTGTGTGTGTGCGGGGGGGGGGGGAAGTAAGCACACATGTGCCATGGCATGCATGTGGAGGTCAGAAGACAACTTTGTGGAGTCAGGTTTTCTCCTTCACCTTTTGAGTGGGTCCCAGGATAGAGCTCAGATCTCCAGATTTGTGTACTAAGTGCTTACCTACTGAGCTATCTTACTGCCCCCAAGAATTGCTAAAAACATTGAGTATCTGTCATGATAAAAGCACAACCATGATCTTTTTAGCTTGGGGGTCAGCGAACTACTTTTCCTGAAAAATATTAGAAGGTTAAAAGTTTGGGGTTATCTCTGTATCAAACACTCAATTCTGCATTGTGGTGCAAAGGCAGTATGCAGGAATGAAACATGAATAGGTGTCAATAAAACTTTATTTAAAATACAGAGGTGGGCTAGATTTGGCCTTTGGGCGGCAGTTACTACACTACACTAATCATACATAAAAACAAAAGGGACCACTACTCTGACAATTTTCAAACTTATCTCCTTATGCTCAAATAACCTTTTTTTCCCCTCATCTGGATAGAAGTCATGAAAAGCACCACTGTGTATTCCATCTTAACGCTTAATGAGGGAAGCAGAGCTTCCTCTTAAGAACACAGGGACTGGCCAGGGGGGTCGCTGAAAGATCAGTTCAATACAGAAGCTGCAGCCATGTCAAGTGACTACCATCAGTTGTCTGGTAACCTCTGGGCATATATATAATCAGGAAGGACCAGAAGAAGTAGGTCCCCAGATATGCTTAGTATTGCCTGCTGCCTCCCCCATCCCATTTTTAATGCACTATATATGTAGGAATGGAGCATGCTACATAGTCATTGTAACATAGTTTAACCTTGTTGTTCAGTTGGGGAGGCCAGGCAAGTGCGCCATCAAGCTACTTCCTTACTGCGCTTCATGTTTTATATTGTGATTCTCTTCGTGTGCTCCTTCTGTTTCTCTCCTTCTACCTGCTGCACCATCTAATGGCTGCTATTTGCTACTTTTTTGTTGGTTTGTGAGACAAGATTACCTGCAGCTTGGGCTAGTCTCCTCGCAGTACTCCTGCTTCTGCCTTCCAAGTACCATACATAGATCACTTCCTGTTTCCTGTTAAAATCCTTGTTTGAGATACTGTCTTATCCCTTCTAGGATGGCTTTGAATTTGAAGATGATCTTCTTGCACCTCCCTTCTCGAGCACAGGGATTACAGGCAAGTGCCACCACGACTACTGTATTGGGTGCTGGGGCTGGAACCCCCAGACTCAGGCATGCTGTGCAAGCACTCTACTGACAGCATTACAGCCCCTGTCTCTTTTTCTCTCTTCCATTTCTTTCCTTCCCTTCTTTTTCTTTGCTATTTCCAAGTAGTAACCATTGACCTCTTAACCCTGGCCTTTCTCAGGGATCTACTATGACTGATAGCCCGCTGTGGTGAGAAGCTTCAGTCTCTCTTAGCCTCGGTCTTAGCAAACAGAAAGCTGGCTACCACTTTAAGGGTCTGAAGCAGGTGCCTCGCTGCATGGTTCTGCCTGGAGGGTAGACAGTACCTGAATCTTGGAGCAGTGTTTCATTTTGTCCTCTTGTGGGATTGTGTTGGTGACAACAACAGCTTCAAAGGCAGCATTATTTATTCTGGAAATGGCTGGCCCAGAGAAGATTCCGTGGGTAAGGATGGCATAAACTTTGGTGGCACCAGCTGAGAGCAACCTGCAAAACAGAGAACAAAGGGTTACTAGTGGCATTGCATGCCTATAACCTTAACACTAGGGAGGCCAAAGCAGGAAGACTGTGAGTTATAAACAAGCCAGAGCTACTGAGCAAAGTCCTGCCTCAAAAGAATTAAGTGTCCAAAAATGCTCCAATATTCTTGAAACACTGTACGTTGTCCCAAAATTATTAGTGAAAAGTGTACCCTATAAAAATGGGACAAAAATCCATTTGCATTTCTTAGGCCATACTATGGTCTTTTAATTGTGTATGTTAGCAAAATGCTCTGAGTTCCATTAAATCAAGGATTATCAGCCCTGGCATTCGGAGCTATAGAAGTCTTGTCATGGCGGCCATCTTATCCATCATAGGAAAATCCAGTAGCATCCCTGATTCATACACTACCAACATTCCCATGAGTTTAATTGAGACAACCAATGACATCTTTAGGGAAAAACTGTCCTGTGTTGAGAACCACTGATTTCAACCAATAGTGCAAAACACATGTGACGTGACATGTAATCAAGCCACAACATTATCAGTGAGACTGAGAGTGTCTCAAATTGTATTCCACAGCCATGTGTGGCAAAGGAGTGGGGGGCTCCCAGTCTGCCAAGTAGAACCTTTGGAAAGCCCCACGAGCAATGAAACAAGCCCAAAGGTGGAGCTGAAAGCCGAAAGGGTGCAAACAAGCAAATAAAACCTCTGGTTTTTTTTGGACCTGAATTCTAGGGAAGCACGTTCTTTGATCCTTTACAAACATGACCTGCAAGTCCAATCTAGAAAATGAAAATGCCCATGGATGTTTGTTGCTGGCGGTGTTTGTTTTTCTTACCAGGGAGAAGGGAACTGAGAAAAAACAAATGAGCCTAGAGTCTCCTGTGGCCTAAAACTCTACTGCCAAGTCATCAGCAACAATGAAGAATAGGCTCAATTTTAAATAATATATGCCTCATGGGTAAACACATTTGCCATCAAGCCTGACAAGCTGAGTTTGATCCCTCTGACTCATAGCGGAATGGGAGAATTGACTCACAAAAATTGTCTTCTGACCTCCACGACTATACCATAGCATGCATGCCTCCTCAACTCGTGCGCACAAGCATGCATACATATAAACACACACACACAAATAAACAAATAAAACACAATTTTATATGTATTTTCCTGAAGGAGATCTTTTCTTGTCTTTCCTGGACCAACCCACGTACTTATCGGCAGCATGGCAGATGGTGCCACATGTGTCAGCCATGTCGTCGACCAGGATAGCCACACGGTCCTTCACATCGCCCACCAGAACCATCCGGTCCACTTCATTTGCTTTCTTTCTCTCTTTGTGAATCAAAGCAAACTCCACATTCAGCCTGTCCGCAATTGATGTCACCCTGTGGAAAGATGCAAAGGAACATGGCAACACAGCCCACCTAAGAATTTATTACTGGGCCCTAGACTGGAGAAATAGCTTAATTGTAAATTCTTCGCCTTGGAAGAATAAGAACCCGAGTTCAATTCCTAGAACTCATGCTTCTGATCCTAGCTTTTGGGAGGCAGAAACGTGCAGATTCCTGGGTCTTGCTGGCCTATTTTGTGAACTCCAGGCAGGCCCTCACTGAGAAACCCTGTTACAGACTGTTCACTAGCATATGTAAACCCCCAAGTTCTATATCTAGCACTGCAAAAAATAAAATCTGTACTTGATAAACATATTTGAGGAACTCCGTAAGCAGCCACACTCAAGATAATGCAAAGCGTTAGGCCACACTCGTGACAGCAAGCATAGTCGAGACTATGCAACCACGCAGCCCACGTGGGAAAGTGTGCTGCTGCTGAAGTCTGCCTCTGCTGTTGCTTGTCACGAATGTCAGGGCACCCTGGCACCTGGGTAAGACTGCTGGTTAAGAAACCGATACTAGATTTGTTAGGAGCTAGGAGTCCATTTTAA